TTAATTAATTTTAATTTATTAAATAATCAATATTAATTATTTTATTAATAATTAATTATCTTTTATAATTAAATTAAAATAAAATTTTAATAATTTTTAAAATCTTAACATATTAAATAATAACTAAAATCATTGCCCTTGACCTGTGTTCCTAACAATCCCGACCAGCGTTCCTTCACCAAGTAGGCTTAAAAGGGGCTGCGTGGTTGGGGAAACTTTAATTTACTGCCTACACTTTATCAAATTTTTTTATAATATTATTTATTTGTTTTTATTTATTAATTATACAATAAAACAAGTTTAAAAGTAATATTTTTAATTTTTTTATGACATAATTTTTATTTAATAAATTTTTTTATATAAGGAAAAAATTTCTTTTTAATTTTTATTATGTAGAACTCATTTGATAATTTTTTTATTAAATTTTTTTATATTAAATTTTTCCCATACACAAAAATATTAATAACTTAATAAATTTAATAAAATTTCATAATAAAATTTATCAATCTTTTTATGGCACTTATCAATTTTTCATACTTTTTTTTAGCACTTTTTCAGAACTTTCCTAATAAAAACTTAACTCAGACTAAAAAAGTCTTTGTCTTCGTCTTCGGTGCTACCCTACTTCTAGTCTAGGCTTAAAAACCTAAAAAGTCTTCGTCTTCGCTACCAGTACTAACCTTCTCCAACTCTTCAAGCCTTCACATGCTTCTGATGGCGAAATCTATCCTCCGTTGGTCCGAACAAACTAATATTGTAGGTCCACGTCTAACTTTATGATCACTTAATCCTTACTGTTCAGTATATATGAAAGAACTATTTTCTTTTATTATAATGAGCAATATCGTGAATAAGGCTGAATTGGCTCACAGGCCTTAAGGTAAGTGAAGTCTTATGAAAAGTGTTGACTCAAACAGATTAAGAGGGCATGAGTATTACCTTTCTAAAAGACCTAGTCAAACGATAAAGTGCTGAGTGGTTAGAAATTAATTTTATTAAAAATGTTTTTTTTAATTATTAAAAAAGTATTATACAAATTTTTTTATTATCAAAATTAAATTTTATTATTTAATTTGAAGCGTAAGAGTGGTGACTTTGCATGGAGAGGAGATGAGGTGCAGTTTGTGTAAGGAGAGGATCGAGAAGAATAATCGAGCAGCGTTATAATTATTTTGGTGGTTGAAATCTGACATGTGGCATGAGAGTTGGAGTTTGCATGTAATTTATTTAATTACAAATACTTGAATTTATTTTCATAAAATCAAGTGTTAGGGGGTATTGTTTACACCATAAATTACATTTTTATTGATGCCACATGTTAATGAATAAAGTGAGATAAGATCTACTAAAGGGATGTATATCTACAAAAAATTGGTTGGAAGGATAAAGGTTATCCAGTTTATTGCAGTTTGAATTTAAAAGAAACAAGAATCCCTAGAATGAACGAGGAAGTTCGGTTGAAGAGTTATTCATGATCTGAATAGCTAGCAATGAAGCGAGGAGGCAGTTCACAAGAAATATAAAAGCTTTCAGGCTTTTCAATCGACACACGGCCAGCCCTACACACAACCTGCAAATTTTCAGATTTTCAATTTCTCTGCAATAGCTCACTTTTCCTTATAGGTTTTGAATTTCAATACAATTCCCAATAGATTTAGGTTATTTTCAACATTCAAGTAGCCAGATTAGTTTGCGTAATTGCTTCTTTGATTTCCTTTCAGGCAATAAACATCAAGTTTACTCTAACTTGCATTTCATTAAGTTCATTGAGGATCTATTAACTTTGGATTCATGATATTGGTAAAGTCCTTGAGATTGTCTAAGGCAGATTAGCAACCCATTTTGCAGGAAGGCATCCTTCCCTCTTGTAAATTGTTTGAATGGCATAGAACTCAATCTTAAACCAACATTCTTCTAGCCATCTTAACGGAGGTCGACTGCGTGGAAGAAGAGGGTCGTTGGAAAAATCTTTTCTTTTTTTGCTTTTTAGAAAAGTAAGTGGTATGCTCGCATCCAGATTTTACACATGCGAAGTCACTTAGGGATTTTTTAGGAAACAGCAACCATGCATAAAAGATGCAAAAACTAGTTGAATCAACTATATTTATACTATATTTTGGGTTAAATGTCAATTTTGGTTCCTTAAATATAAGAAATGCACTTTTTTAATTTTTCTTCAATTAGTCCATTAAATCTATTTTTATATGTAGATTTAAATTTAGTGATTAAAAATGTGCATATAATATAAATTTAGGGACTAAAAATATGCATATTTAGATAAACTCAACAGACTAATGTATAGAATGACAAAAAAAAAAGAGTATATTTTTTGGGAGTTAAGGGATAAAAAAATGCTTTAAAAAGTTTAGGATCTAAAACTATGTAAAACTTTAAAGTTGAGGGACCAAATCTGACATTTAACTTATATTCTATTGACCGAAAGGTATGTTAAATTAGAAAGTGTATCAATCATTTTTTAAGATGAAAACTTGGCCCACAATAATATATTTCTTTTGATAGTTACAACTTTATTATTTGATGTTCATGTTTTGTGATCTTTGCCTAGTGTAATTAATAAAACCAAATATTGATAAATTAGTGAAAGAGAGAGACCGCGATAAAAAGACTTTTCTTTCTTCTTTTTTTTTTTTTTTTTGATTTATCTAATTTGTATCCTAAGGGAGCAAATTTAGAGTATAATAAATGTAATTTTTTATAATTAATTTACATAAAAAATTATAAAAGTTGATATACGTTTTAACACCACTTACAAGTGGACGGCTTTAATTAATTAATTGATTAAACCAAAGTCAATAGTTATACTTTCAATAAAAATTAATTACAAAAAGATGTATTAATTACACTTTTAACCTGTGTTCAAGATAAAAAAAGCTTTTTTTTTTTTTAAAGAGTTGAGGAATAATAAAAATGCTTTGAAAAGTTGAGAAATGAAACTATGCAAAAATCTGAGGGACCAAAACTGACATTTAACATATATTCTAATGTTGAAATGCATATTAAATTCAAGGGTGTATCAATTATTTTTTAAGATAAAAACTTGGCCCACAATAATAATTTTTTTTTCTGGTAGTTACAACTATTTTTTTGGTGAAATATGGTAGTTACAACTTTATTATTTGATGTTCATGTTTTGTGATATGTGGCCTAGTGTAATGAATAAAACCGAATATTGAGAAATTAGTGAAAGAGAGAGACAGTGATAAGAAGACTTTTCTTTTGGAAGAATTGAGGAATCAAAAAAGTGTTTTAAAAGGGTGAGAAACAAAAATTATATAAAATATGAAAATTGAAGGATAAAAATTGATATTTAATTTATATTTTAATAGTTAAAAAGTGTGTTAAATTAGGGGATATATCAATTATTTTTAAAGATAAAAGCTTTGCCCACAAAAATAATTTTTTTCCGCTAGTTACAACTTTTTTTTATTTTTTTGGTGAAATGATAGTTACAACTTTATTATTTGATGTTCATGTTTCGTGATCTTTGGCCCAGTGTAATTAATAAAATTAAATATTGATAAATTAGTGAAAGAGAGAGACAGTGGTAAGAAGACTTTTCTTTCCTTTTTTTTTTTTTTTTCTTTTTTTAACGGTGTATGAATGTGGCATGAAGACTTTAGAGTTTGTAT